AAAACTCAGATTTAGTCTAATGTAACAAATAATTACATATTATATTTTGTGATCTCGATTCCAACCAGGTTCTACTAGGGATTCTGTAAGGACAAGGACAGTTCTTGGTGATTTAACTAACCAAATTCCAGTACCTAGACATGGAACTGTACCAACATCATCCAAAAGAAAACAAACAAGCTACGGTCTTAAAGGTTATAAGCAAGATCATAAAACACCTACGAAATTCTAATTGACACTAAATTGTACATTTTTGTAATATTTGATGTAAACAGAGAATACATGCAGTACAGTGTGTCAACAGTCCCCAATCTATAGCAGTGTAACCAATAGAGAAGCTATTTTAGAAGAAACACCGCCAGCAAAACGAAGACAACCTTACAGCAAGACTAATTTCAGTCCACCATCAGTGAATAGCAAAAAAGGTACGAAATGTAAAAAACTATCGGAATTTGGTAGTATTCAATTATCTTATATCTGAATGATTAACCCATTTCAAATGTATTTCAATAAACGTGAGTAATAGGAGGAGTAAAACAAGGTTTGTCGATTACAAGGCGGAACACTTCTTTACGATTTGTTAAGAAGCTTGCTAGGCAGTGGAAACCTAATCAGCAAAGAAATCATCTTGCAAGCGGAAACAATATATGCGATCACCTTCAAACAACTGGAAAGAACACTATAACAGAACTTCAATCAATCAGAACAGGTTAATCCTACATTCTTAATCCAGATTGAGCATTGTCTACAAAATTGAGATAAACATCTCTAACATTGTGTATTTATTATGCTAACTATAAGTAACACTTATATCACAGATGAGCAAACATACCAATGCACCAGCAGTAGTGATTGTCATGACTCCGAAACCTCAGAAGATGAATCTGAAAATGAAAATGTTTCAGTAGAAGTTAGTAAAGGATTCCAGATTCTGAACATGTTAGATGAGAGTTTGACAAAAGCTTTTTCTGCTAAGACTAAAAACAAATCTAAACCAAGGTTAAGGAAGAAAGAAACAGGTACTACACTTTACAAAGATTTAAAATTCATAACAGTCACATAAAACTAATATATTCATATTCATTTTTAACTAACAAATAGACATTTGTGGTTTCAGATTATCTTGATCATGGAGATCCTACATACTCATGTTCTTATTGCGGAGCAATAATGTGGTACGGTGAGCGCATTAACCGACAAAGAAAGGAACGTAACCCAACATTCTCACAGTGTTGTTTAAAAGGAGCAGTACAATTGCCTTTCTTACATAATCAGCCAGAGCTACTGTTTGCTTTGCTAACAAATGACGATGAATTGAGTCGGCATTTCAGAGAGAATCTAAGAGCATACAACATGATATTTTCATTCACATCACTAGGTGGATGTTGTGAAAACAATGTTGTTAAAGGACATGGTCCTAACATGTTTCAGATACATGGAGAGAATTATCATCTTCTCGGTAGTTTAAAGCCTGAGATGGGTGATTTCCCTAAGTTTTCACAGTTATATATTGTGGATACAGAAAATGAGGTTCAAAACCGAGCAGGCATTTTAAGGTTTGTCCAGTAATTTTAAGTTTTAGATCGTGCTTAATAATGCTCTATTAATATATTGTAGATCGTGCTTCATAATGTGAAGACATGGTTCTAACGTGCAATGTTTTTGACCATTTACAGCAAGTCCAAAAATGCAGGGAAGTATAAGAATAAACAGAGCCTAAGACCAGAAGTTATAGCCGCTATAATCAAGTTACTCAATGAAGTGAACCCATATGTTGAAAATTTCAGATCAGCAAAGGAAAGGTTAGATACAAATCCTGAAGAAAGTTTTCACATGAGGATAGTGAGTGATCGAAAAAAAGACGGTAGAACATATGATGTTCCTACGGCTAATGAGGTGGCTGCATTGATCCCAGGAGATTTTCATGTAGGTATGCCTACCCGTGATATTATTGTGGAAGAAAAATCTGGAGAATTACAAAGGATTAGTGAAATACATCCTTCATATCTGTCTCTGCAGTATCCTTTACTGTTTCCAAAAGGTGAAGATGGTTATAGGCCTGGAATAAAGAAAGGTCCTAAAGGTGGGAAGAAAAGAAGTAACAATGAGACAGAAAAAGAGAATGACTGCATAAG